CCCCGCCCCGTTCTGCCTGAGGCCGTGCCCCCAGGGCCCTCCGGGCAGCGCCTGTAACTGGGCGGCACGGAAAAAGCCGAAAGGCAGCGGAAGGAGGTTTCCCGCCGCTTGTCCCTCGCGGTCAGCGTTTCTGCATGTGGGAGAAAGGATGTGTAACAACAGCGGCTACCAACACCGTAAGAAAAAATATCTTTGTTATTATGAATACATCATAAAATCACAATCATTTTATACACATTTTAGTATTTCATATACTTACATAAATAAAGTGAACAGCATCGTTATTGGAATGTGTAATAGGAACAAACATACGGATTTTAATGTGAAATTAACAAATTCTTGGACCCCACCTGCATCTTTTGTTGCTTCTTTGGGGCTTAGCGTTTTAACTCTGAAATACTTCTAGGAAGAAGTATTACTCAAGCTGTGATACCAACAATAACGCCAGGGATTACCTTAATTCCATTTACAATCAATTTACCTCCCCTTTTCCTCCTTGAGCCTGACTACATAGGAATTCTTCTGTGTCAGTATTCCAGCTTTGCAAGAAAGACTAATCCTGTATGTACTTGGCACAGTGTTGAAAGAAAACGTTTTCCAAGCTTTATGATTTTGTTAAACCCATTAACAATCAGCATTTTGCCATCACTACACACTCTTGCAAATGTTTCCATTAAATATATTTCTAATATTAATAAAATAACTCTTTATTATCCTGCTTATAACTTGATGTCTTAACATCAAAATAATATTTCTTTCTAATAAAATTATACATAGTATTTATATGAAACAAAGTTGTCATGTGCATGCGCCTAGTAATGAGACTAGGCATGAGTGTAGATGTTTCTACATTCTTATTTTGGATTCCTGGGGGGTTGTTATTTTTGGGGCCACAGAGTAATAAATAATTTACAAGGTAATGACTTCCCTGGCTCCCTGGTAACCAAGCTTAAAATTGGAAATGATTCCTCTGGTCTGGCTTTATAAAACTTTGGGCATGCTGAAGAAAATGTCACTTTTCTATCTGAGTGTCTGCGTGTGTTTGCCCAGAAATCTTAATGAAACGTTTCTGACAGAATGTGTTATGAAATTTATCATATAATTAATCAGAAATAAAATGAGAAAGGTCTATGCAAAGATCTTAGCGGCAGGCAGACGGAAGGCTGGAACTTCCCAGCCAGCTGTGCTCAGAGGGGCCCTCCCTGCTGGAGGAATTCCTGTGCCTTCTGGACTGGACTTGTCTTTACCATCGGGTCCCCTCCTTGCTGCTGGGACTCAGCCGACAGCTTTGGGGCAGGGAGTCTGGAAAGAGGAGGGTGAAGGACAAGGGCAAACCCGAGGAGCACTTTCCTTCACCTTCTTCATGGAGTAAGCACGTCTGTTGGAAAACCCAGCTCTTTCCTGCGAAAACCAATGATGCAAACTCCAGGAAGGGAAGTTACTGAGGTTTTCATTCAGAAAGGCACGTAAACATGTGCCATATTTTATGTTCATGAATCTGCAGGACAGCTTTCTGTACTTACAGTGAGGCATGTATTTTATCTACTTTTTTGGTCCAGTCTCAGACTTTCCCTTCCCTGGATACTTATGCACAGCAGGACAATTGTCACCTACCCCTGAATTTGATGGTCAAACTGTAGGAACTTCTCATTTGGTATTTGTCTATATTTGGAAAAGCAAAGCTTAGAACTAAAGTAAGTGCCTTTTTTAGAACACATCATCTTGTGGGCAGGGGGCAACTAAATTTAGGTGGTATGTAGGAAGTCACTCATCTAACTCATTATTCAGTATCTGATGGTCAAAAAAACCTGCAGCTACTAATTCTATAGTGGGAATCAACCTGATCCAGCAGGTGATGGGGTGTGGTGGTAAACATATGCAAGAGTTACATAATTTGCAAGAGTTACAAATATAACATTTGACATTTAACATGTTTACTTAAAGTTGCATATTCACGAACGATGTCATTTATACCCAGTTGCCCGCTTGAAATAAAGACAGACATAAATGCCTCAGTTCATGCTGTCTTAAGAGGCTTCTTTCAGCCTGCTGCATGTAAGACCATCCTTCTTTTGGCCACAAGTTCCTTCCCCAAGTCTCACTGATTTCCTTATTAACTGGTTCACAAGACTACTTGGATCTGGAGCTGCTGGGAGAGCTCCTCCCAGAGGAGAAGCCCAAAGACCGCAGGGTGAGAGCACTATAATTTTTTCTAAGCTATCCCCGTGACTTAAGTCATTGCTTTGTAAATATTGATATACATATAACGTGAAAAGGAATACAGAACATTAACGTTCTTAAAGCTAATGCCCTTGCTTGTGGCATAGTGATAGCGAGGAGTTGGGAAACGATTGCAGGAGTGAACACATCCTCTTAAGACAATATACAAAAAATATGAAAGGTCTAGACAGCCAGCTGTTTATACAACATGACCTGTACTGGTGGTGTAGGGATTAAACCAACTATCTTTTGGCCCAGAGAATATGGAAGGGAATACAGACCTTTACAGGTTATCTGAAAAGGGCCTGCTTATATTTTCACCTGTATTTATTCTATTAGAACATGCAAGCCCTGAAAAACATGGCAAAATAAGAAGTTTTTCTTTGCATTTGTAACATGGACATGACCCAGCACTAAACATACTGTAGAAGTAGCAGCCACACAGATACAACATTGAAGCTTTGTGCTTAATATACTCCTTTATCTTCTAAGCATGGCAAAGTCCTCAGCAGCTGTGGTAATCCAAAAGAAATGGTAACATACATCACCCATGAGGTATGGTCTAGCTTGTGCATCCAATTTCCAGTGTAAAAAAAGGGCACTCCCTTTCATCCCTCTTCACACATATAGGATCCCCTGTGCAGCACCTCACCTTAGCCATCCTCGTACCAGTTGAAACGCTTTGTCACGTGCACGCCTGCACCTACTGATACTCTTCATATACCCAGCCAAACACACTGCAACTCTGTGTTCCAGTTCCATGAATGCCATTTAGGTCGCTCTCATGCAGCAGAGGAACAAAAGAGATGGAAGCTCTTTGCAAACATGAGGCCTCCCTCTGGTCTCGATTTCACTCGGACTTCAGCATTTCACCAAGGAAGACATGCACCTACAGGAGGTCAGAATCCAACTCTTTCTGCAAGGCTGGGATTGATTTTGTGCTTGCCAATAAGCCTACTTGATTCACTGATGCTTTTCCTGCTTTATATATCCCCTGTTTCTTGCTTATCTTTGTGTAATGTATCCAGCATGAATCTGTTGAAGAAGGGAACTGGCCTTCACACTGAGCACTGGGAGAATGGTAAGGGAAAAGTAGTGTTAATTTAGGACAAACACATCTTTTCGACTCTCTTTGAACGATACTCTAGCAACACAAAGCTAAATAATTTCCAGATCAACAAGCAGCGTCCTTGTATCACTGCTTCACCATATGTTTTTGCCTTTTTCTGCCATGGTGCAGCATAATAGAAGAAGACATTTCATCTACAGCTGGCCTCTGCTGTGAAACAGGGATCCACCTGTCACACTCTCCTATGCCTGGGGACAGTAGCTGGAGACGTGAGTTCAGTGGTGTAACACATTTACATGTAACTGTGGACCAAGTTTTTCATTATTGATGTCATTCAGGGATGATGTTCAGCTACCCCTCTACCCCTGGCAAAATTTGGGTACTGGGTCATTTGGACATAGAACGCAAGGTAGGCAGATGAAATGCTGTGGTCTGCGCCATTAGCTAGAGCATGTCTCAATCGTATTATATACTAAGAAGGTTTTCTTGATAGTTTAGGTACAATGCACAGTGCAGGCTTGACGGTATGGAATTACTGCAAGGAGGCTATCATGAACCAGGAAAGCTACAGTACAGGCAGCATCGTTGGGGAAAAGCAGAGAGAAAACTGGGAAATAATATATATATATATATATATATATACTTTACATTGTCAGTGCATTTTTATATTGAACAACTCTAAAGGGGCTCTATTTTTCAGTAGGCATAGCTAAGGGTGGGCTGCCTTCTGTATCCTGGAGTCTCTGGGTGATGCCCGTGGTTTGTAGTCTTCTCCAGATCCAAAATCTACTGTGTCATGATAGTTTGTAAATTCCTGAGGTAATGGAAACTCCTCTGTTGATGAATGAGTCCTGTGTCCAAACACTCTCTCTTGCAGCTCAGCGATGTCGTTTCTGATGTCTGCCATCATCAGCAACAGGAAATCAAATGAGCCTGGTGGGCCCTGCAGTCACAAGGCATGATCATTAATAATAATAATCCGCTTCACTCTTACAGTTTTCAAACAGGTTGATATAATTACTCATGCAGGGGTAACTCAGTAAAATACTGCTTCATATCAATTGCCAAAAGTTAACGGTCTCTTTTTGAATCAACCTGCTCAGGAAACAATTTTCAAAAGAAGGCAAATGTTTTTGCAGACATAGCCTATCTTTACCAGATGCTCAGCCCTTTTGTTACCTAACAATTCCTTTGCTGTATTTGCTTCCTAAGAGTATCTTGACACCTCATGGGAATAGAGGAGATAAATCTTGGTTCCCTGTGTTCCTTTTTATTAAACTGATAGAAATTACATTCTTAGAATGACTAATAAATCAATAATTATTATTTATTTTAAAATTTTTCTCAAGAATGCTGATATTTTGGAAGCTATCTTTTCAATATGGTAACCCTGCTGCTGCCCATCACTTACTAAATATATTGGTTATTACAATGCAGAGAATATCGATCTGGTTTTATCTGATTTTACAAAATCATCATTTCTTTTTAGCTGACTTCACACAGTAAAGTACACTGTTTAATACTGAGGACACCCGACTGGACACACTCTTAAAAATCCATTCCACCAATGAGAAAACACCGTAAGAAATACATTTTTAAACAATTTAACCTGAAAACAGATTTTAAATACTCATCCTTCTCCTGATGACTTGCTCAAAGCCTACAGCTTCCCAAATCCCAGGGAGAGACAAGGGGCGGGATTTTAAAAGGTTCCAGTGATCCAACTCCCCTTAGGAACGGTGGCTGAACTATACTAACTAGCACTCTGCACAGGATCTCATGCCTTCTGAGGACGTCCCACTGCTGTTGTAGGGCAGAGGTGCACTTACTGCCTTCAGTGTCACACTGAGCAGGGGAGGAGGTGTGTAGGCAAAAACACTTGGACAAAAACAGGTAATTACTTTTTTTTCAATAACATTTTCTGCGCAGGTAAATGATCTTTCACTGTGCTCTTGACACAGGAGAGGTTTTTTTTTCCTTTTGGCTGACCCGTTGTTAGTAGTCAACATCACGCTGTGGAAATTCCTCCTATGAGCAATACTTACAGGTATCCCCTTTGGTCCTGGTGCGCCTCGCTCCCCCTGTAATCAATACCACCTCAGTTAGTTTGCTGTGACTAAAGGAAATGAAAAAAATCACAGTTTGCCTCTGCTGACTCCCTTACTTACTGTCCCCAGATCAAGAATCATCAGCTTACGCTTGCTCGGAAAAAGAAAAGAAAGTGAAGGAGGAACGCAAGGAAATTGCCGCTGATTCTAGAGGGAGCAGAGCTGGGCACTTCTGATATTTCTCCTAGACAGTAACAAGCAAACCAGTTAGCAGGAGAAATTCACAAAAGAGCAGTCTAATGAAATGGGTTAAAGCATCAACATTTCTTCATGGAAAAGCCGAAAGAGCTGCAGAGAAAGGAAAGGAGGCTGCTTGACAGATAGCCTGGCAGGGCTATTTGCAAGATGTGAGGAACGGCAAGCAGAAAATAGCAGAAGGAGGACATGAAGGGGATAGGAAAACAGGACTTTTTCAGCTTAGGAAAGGAAATGAGATGGTAAAAGGGTGTGTAGAGGGTCTATCTAGCAAGCCTGCACTTTACATGTGCGTGCCCACTTTATGGAAAACAGTACCTCTCCTCACCTTGCTACCATCTCTCCCCGGGGCTCCTGGTGGGCCCTGCAAGAGAAAAGGAAGTGTTCACAAGGACGTGAGAGGTTGTGGACCTAAGACCAATTACGCAGTACATGACAGGAGGTGAGAATACTGACCACGGGGCCCCGCCTGCCCTGCTTAATATGTGATATGTCTGGAGATGGGCCCATAGGTCCCATTGATCCACGAGGGCCTGGCTGTCCAGGAGGTCCAGGTGACCCAGGAACTCCTTGACTCCCTTTTGGTCCTGGAGCCCCTGCAATTGACAGCAAAGGTTACCTGCCAGGGAAAGCTTTCAGGACACTTCATCAGTGCAAGCAGTGGGGACTGACCATTTTTGGAACCACCCAATGGACTGGTTGCCTTAACAGACTCAAATCCACAACAACACAACCAACACAGCAGTCATCTGAGACAACATTACTCCTTGTCACAGAGACTAGAAGAGATCTTCACAAAACAGTTAAACCTTGTGTATACAAAGAAGCCAAGACTGCCACTGCCAGGTGGTTAGGGACACAGACTGGGACTGAAAAGAAAAGCAGAAATGCCTCATTTTCACACAAAGAAGAAAAGAACAAGTCACATCTGAGAAATATCTCATAAAAAGAAAGCCTCAGAAAACTCATGGGAAAGTTGGGTCGAAGGCATCTACATGACTGGCACAGAAGCAAGCCCTTTTCAGTGGTGGGTCACACCTCTCTTTTGCCCAGTACAGTAGTCAATGTGTTGGGGGCAAAAAAGGCTCCATTCTTCCATTTTGCTTTATATCCTTTTCAGCTTCTGCTAGTTCAGCAGAGAATGTTAATTTTTAGGAAGCGCACAGGCAAGAAAGCATATGTTTAGCTCAAGAGAAACACGATGAAAAGCAAAACAGAAAATCAGGCAACAGTTGCACAAGATAAAGACCATGAAAGTGTCAATAGCTGAATTGCTTTCTAATTAGAGGGGAAAGCACTTTTCTTCATAGTGAAGGCATGTGAAAGACATAGAAAATGAAAGGCAGAGAGTGAAAAGGGTTGGGTCAGCAGGACAGAATATGTACAGTTAGGGTTTTCAAAAGGAGTAAAATCAGGTTCAGTGATGAACCTCTCGGACTCCTCCTGAAGCCCCAGCCGCACTGTTGCTAACGGCAGGGCAGAGGAGGAGGTGAGCAGGGATGGTTTTCAAGCGGGACAGACAATTCTACAGTACCTTGGACAGCTCAGTCATGGGGAAGCCAGACGGAAGACCTGACGAGTCAGGCCTACGTTAGAGAGATTGCAAGGCGACGTACTGTACAGTTCAGAGTCTGATGCAGAATCTCTAACCACATTGTCCTTGCATTTATGATATACTGAAGACTGAAGATACTCGTCCTCCAAGAAAATGAGATAAAGACTCAAAAACCAAAGCAAGACTGCAAAAGCAGGGATAAATGAGGGGGGCAGTTCAGTATGGAGTAAATCAAACCTCATAAGGAATATCTGCTAGTCCTCTGTAAGAATCTTCCTGCAACCCAGCACAATGCTAAAATTCCTTGGATTTATCGCTAACCTAAAATTAGATCTGCATTTGACAGAGTTTGCAAAATTTTTAGTATCACTGGCTGCAGGTTGCAAGGTGTCTGGCTTAAGTTAGAGCTTTAGGAACTCTCTGCTTTTCTCATTGTTTTGACCTATACCTTAGCAAAGAAGGTGTAAGTGGAGTTTTACTTTTCTTTTCAGATTCCTTTGAATCTGGAACACACATAAAACGAACAAATGAATCCTTGCAAAACCAGACAAGGAAAAATAAAACAGTTGGCACAAGCCCCCTCAAACTGAAAGCACATTTTCTGCTCTAGTAATGACAGTGAGCTAAATGAAATGGAGAATGTTTTAAGACAGAGTTAAAATACAGGAAATGACAACGGAAGCAGGTGAGATAACCCAGGGACAGGGAGAAATTTAATACCTACAGGACAAACACAGCTTGCACACCAAGAAGCACATGGAGGCTAAGACACAATGGATGATGTTAGACAGTTGGCAGAGGCTGAACATAATGACCAGAAAGTTTTCCTTTTTAAATTTAGCACACACACAAATATAATAATAGCAAACAAAATCTGAAACACATGAAATCCCATCACACTGAAAGATTGAAGCTTATAATTTTTATTCATGGCACTATTGCACATTCACATCCCTCTGGTCTGTATCTTACCTGGAGGGCCTTGTTGGCCGGGCTGGCCTGGGGGGCCAGGAATATATGCGTTAGATGCAAGCACTTTTTCACCAGTGATTTGCTTGCTAAGATCAGCAGCATTATTTGGTAGCAAAGCAACCTGCCAAAACCAAAAATCACTGTAAGCTCTTCATCGTTCAGCTGAATAAATTACCTTCTTGGTTAAGCTTTCATGTGGACAAACAGCGTATTTAAATACTTCATTGAAATCGTTAGAAAAAAAAAGTGACTGTGTTGAAGCCTATGACAGCAGTTACTCCTAAGCTGGCCAACTTGATTTTTTTCAAGTATGGACATGAAGATTTCTTGAAGCTCCTGCCATATTTTGTGGTCCCAAGAAAAACTGGGTCCCTGACCCTGCAATGGGACCTCCTCATAGGTAGTCAGAACCAGCTGGAAGGATGCTTGAGGACTCTTACTCTCACCTGTACATATTTCTGAGTGACCACCTTGCAGAAATCTGATGAGAAAACATTGTCACGGAGAGTAACAGCCTACAGTGCCTTTCCACAGTATATTTTGGGCGACCCATGGAGATGAGTCAGGTTTTGCAGAAATGGTACCCTTCTCTGTCTTCCACACGAGGGGGAGTGTGTGTGTGTGTGTGTGTGCTGCATGAGCTCTGGGTAAGGGATCCTAGAGATGATCCACACCTCAGGTATCATATACCCAGGAGGTTGCCCAGGCTTGAAAGATGCCACATGAAAAACATGGCACCATTTGATTTGAAGGCTTTTATTCATTCTGGGACTTTCCTTTCCCTGGAACCAGCACCCTGATGTTTCCTGCGAGGCTGTTCACCTTTCAAGTCACCATGGAAATACTGCAAGTCAATCCAAATGGAAGGTAGGAGAAATTCAGGAGATACACAGCAACAAGTTGCCAAAAACTTAAGTCTCACAACTTCTTGGATCTTCTCAGGAAACCTCTTTTTTCCTTATTTGAATTTTCCTCTGTTCATTTACTTTCAATGAAAGCCCCAAATCCTCTGTGGATCTGGCCCTGTCACCTTACTATTTAACCAAACAGATGTCTGGATCTGCTCTGCATAGAGACACAAAGCTAAAGTAAGTGAGAATGTAAGAATAATTGCACACTACGGTTTAAGATGCCATTATCCATTACATCAGATGTTTAATTATCTATTAAACATTAATTTTCTCAGATTGAAAATATTTAATAATTAAACATATTTAGAAATATTCTGCAAATGTTTAGTCTCTCCAGAGACAGCTGAGGGGAGATGACAAGTCAGGAGGCTGGTCTGCAGTGAGGAAAGAAGTTTATTAGTGGTGAGTGGCTGCATGTAGAGTTGGGAATTTTGCTCTGCCAAACAGAACTGAAGAGCTATTTCAGAAATACCAGGGCAGATCTATCCCTGGGTCAGCTTTGTTGCTGCCCTGAATGAATTTGGCTCACTGGATAATTTGATGTTGGATTCTGCAACATTTGCATGGGAGAGCTCCATTAGATAAAATAGATGGTAACTCCTGCTATCTGACAATGCTTTTACTCAGCTATTTGGAATTCCCCGCACTGGACTGTTCTCAAGACTCCTACTTGTTTCTGTAATTATTTGATATACACCCTCCTGCCCTTAGTGCAAACCTAATGTTTGTATAGCAGAGAAAAAAAAAATGCTATGCAGTTGCAGTACATAGTATAACTGGCCAAATTTCTTTTGGCAAACAAGTTATTAGTTAAAGAATGCACTGTAAGGGCAGCCAGTGCTGCTTGCAGTTTGGGGTTGGATGCACAGAACAGTTCTGAAGGAAGCAAAAGTGAGAAAAAGAAAAGTCAGAAATGCTGAGACAGTTCCTGGTGGCATTTCTGAAACACCAGTTTGATTTTTCAGGCTGTAATTCAGAGTTCGATGACAGAAATACAAGGATTTATCGGCCTTTTGTAACTCAGGTTTTGGAGAGCATTGCTGTTCCAAAGACAAGATGACTGCACTAAAGGCAAATTAAGTGACATGATGTAAGTCCTACAAGAATTTGGTAGATTCACTCCACCCCCCCACAAATCAGTGGCTGGATGAGGTCAGCACTTCACAGAAGCCCCACAGGGTGTTTCTTATGTGCTTACTCCTATGAATCTGCTCACACAGAAAATGGGGATCCAGCATACCTACTGCTCTGGGGTGGGCTGTCATCTTTGGTTTTCCGAAGAAAAACATCTTTGTTTACCAATGACCCCGCAGCTTTCCCAGCCAACATCCCAGCCATTGCAGCACAGACCAAAGCGTGGGACTGCTGAAGTTAGAGGGCTACTGCATGAGTCACAGCACCTTACACCTGGGGCTGAACAGGAAAATTCAGTAGCTGGGGGGGTCTCATAGCCACATTAGCCAGGGACCAGCATGAGGAGGTCCACTGGTCCGCTCTGATCAGCACACTGCAAAGTTTTGTTTCCTGGAGGTGCGTCCACCCTGTCCAGAGCAGGGTCCTGCCTGGATACGAATGGAAGGTTGCAAGGACCATCATGCTGCAAAACTGCATGACGCAAATCAACCAAGGGCTCTGCAGTGCCAACGCTGCCATGCTAAAACCGAGGCACAGAGTTAAATCCTGTGGCTGCCTGAGAGCATTATATTTTTCGTGTAGTTTTTGTGAGAATATTTTCAGCCTCATCAGTGAGTGTTTCTCCTTAGGGGTGGCCACAGTTGAGTGACAGATTAATTGATGTCCTCTTTAGAGCTTGTACTTAAATTTCTCACCAGGTCCTGTTTTGGGGATCTACTGCTATCCCAGCTGATAAATAGATGTCACTTAGTATATAGTCTCTGCCATGAATACTCTTCAGGTTATAATGCAAATGGCCAGGCTGGAGTAAAAAGGTGCGTTCAGTGGCGAAGACTCATCACAAAGAGGATTTGGAAGTGTATTCTTTTCTGTTGCTTAAATACGAACTTGTTCTTGCCAGCCAGGCTGTTTTAACAACTTAGTAAGTTAAAAAAGAAAATCACATAGCTGCTGTGAAAGCATCTACAAATGCTTCCCCACTGAGTCAGCTGGACTAGAAGCATACACTAGGAGTGCCAAAACACCCAGGCTCTGGTCTAGCTCACTGCTCTCTGATACCTTCTGGCCAGAAAATGGTTGTTACATACACTGGGGCCAAACCATGTGTTTTTGATGTTGACTCACTTCCTCTTAGGGACTGGCTATACTCACTGGCCTAATTTTGATTTCATCTTTTAACTGAACCAGGATCCTGGTCCAGAGTGACCTTGGCTTTCTCCATCCACAGTTCCAAATCTTAATGGCCCTTGGAAAACTTTTTTTTTCCCTCCATGTGCGTGCAAATATTAGTGAGAGTAAATTTTAAAGAAAGGCAATACTAGAAACAAGACTCCCATATGTTGTGTTGCATGCTGCATCTGGAGTTTTGGGTAGTTTCTAGGAGATCTATGGTTTAGATGACTTCGACAGTGCTTGACAGGAGTGATGTGGAACATGGCTTTCTAATTAAGATGTTTAAACAAATCTGTGCAGTAGGATCCAGCAATGCCCCAACTCCAAGTGCTGAACTGCTTTCTGATTTTTAAAAATTGTTGGCTGTGTGTCAGATATCTTTACCCTAGTTTTCCAGCTTTCTGCTCTTCTTCCTTCCAGCAAGGTCAGAGATCAACCTAGGACTGCCCTCAGCCCCCTAGTATATCAGGACAGTGCATCCCACTGGATGACCATGCAAGGTGACTTTCTGTTCCTGATCCTAGAACTACTCTGTCCTGGATCTGGAATGGATGTTGCAGTCCTCCAAAAAAGGTATTGGTGTCATCACCGGAGGTAGCAGGACTTGAGTTCACCCTGTCCTTTCCTAAGGAGACACAAAACCCCACCTCCCACTTCCAGAAGCATACCCCAATTCCCAGTTGTAGTGTTTGCTGAATTGGATCCTCCACAGGCTCTTCTGCTAAACATAATTTTGCGTAAAGTTCATAAAATCTGAAAGCCTTAACCACAAAACTGAAGACTCATTCCCATAAACTGTCTCGCTGGCAGACAGAAATGAATTTTTCTGTGCAAAACAGAACAACTTCGACCGCAGATATTGAGAGATGTCGTCCCCAGAAGAACTTGGCCATGGGGAGCGGCTGGTGAAGCACGAGGGTTCATGTCTCCCTGGGCAGAGAAGCAGCATGAGGCCAGATCTCCTCTCAGCATGGACAAAAGCTCTCCTCTCCGTAGGGTAATAAATGCTGAGGGTATCAGGGGACCTGTTTCCAGCTCGGTCTGTGTGAGGCACAAACCAGTGGGCTCCCTCTAAGGATGCCAAATAGATCAAGTCCCACTAGGAAGATACCTGGGGAAAATTTAGCTATGGACCATGACAGAACTTCGTTATGAGGCAAGAGTGAGCTGCTCAGTTTGGCTTCTGAACAACAAGTGCCCATAGCAACAGGTATTGATGGTGTTAGTTTTCCAGGACTGACTTTTGAACACAGGCACCTAACAGCGGAAGTTACGACACAGAAAACTTTCCCTTAATTACGGCCAATGGTTTCCATCAATTCTTGCAGCAAATGACTTGGCCAACAGTGTGACCCCAGATCCCTCCCTGGGGGTCAGTGTGAGCCTGCTTAGCATCACGGACTGCATCTGGACAAACAGCCCTCAAAAGCACGGATCCTTTTTTAACCTGTTTGGTACCGTTTGTTTGAAAACCACAATTTCCATCACACATGAAATTCCGTCACTTCCACATTTATCTTCACACTGATTCAGAAGGACAACATGACATTATGAGATTTTTGTCATAAAGAGTATCTCAAACCTCATTGTATTTCATTTTAGTGAAGCTGATTTCTTTTTTCCTAGTATAAATTACATTGAATGAATTACATTGAATTACATTAAAGGCAACAAGTGAACATACCAAATTGTGTTTTGACACAATGAAATTAAATGAGCACGCTGGGTGATTACGGCCTGTCAACAGGCATTGCTGAGAATATTCCTGCAGAACATTTCCATTTCAGAGAACCGGAATGTTTGAAGGAGGTGTCACCAGAAAAGGCATTACACCTGTACCCCTGCACTTGGCTCTCCAAATCCTGGGCTGGGTCTCTGGGTTATTTCAATCATACCCAAGTGCAAAAGGAGGCCACGTATAGGAGCAATTATGTTAAAGGCCAGGGGAAGTTTTTAAGTGCATTATTTTCTACTTGGAAGGACACAAGTGAAAACAAAAAAGGTTGGGGCTGAGGGGTTTTTCTTTTTAAAAAAATCAAAGCTAATGTATCTGCTAGTGACGTTTTCGTTTAGCCACACACCTCCTATTTGGCAAGAATCCTGTATCAGCACCCTACTAATGCAAAATCATGTTCTCCCACATTCCCACATCTGCAGAATGTCTTGCACTTGCATACACTAAACGTGGATCAAGTCCAAAAGCCTGTGCATTCAGAATGAATGAAAAGCTGAGGCCAGCACTGATTGCCAAGAAACCTGGGCTCAGACTAGGATGGGTGTTTGCCAGACTCTGTTACCATGAGCTTGGTAACACAGCTACAGGAGCTTGGTTAGCAATCTGCTTACAAGCAATACAGAAGCATAAGGAAGAGATGCCATTCCCAGATGATTTTAAAATATGTCGCCATCATCTTTATGGGCACAAGAGCCACATGGCAGTGACAGCTCCAAACACTTAAATTTAACCTCAGTTGTCATAAAACAGGTAGGTCTGGTAAAGACATGACTGATCAATGTTCATACCTTTTGCTTCAGTTGTAAAACCGTCTGCTTTATTTGATGAAATTCCTTACAAGAGGCACAGCATGTCCCTGATTTCGCCACATTTTCAGATTTCTCAGGAAGCCCAGCTGAAAGAAAGCAGTTTCCAATACAAATATAAAGATCCAAAGCAAAGAAATTCATAAAGTGATTGCAAAAGCAACTTGAAGGTTGTTACATTTCCCCAGACTGTGAAGAGAAGAAAGAGTCTTGCCATTATTAATGCTTTGACTGTGAATTGCTATGTAAGTCTGAGAAACTTTGCAGGGACATATCTGAGCTTATTTTTAAAGCAGCTGTTTCCAGTTAACAGTCCCCAAAGAATTTCTTTTTTTAATACCTGAAAAAGTTTACACCCCTTCTTTTATCTTTGTGTGTAGGGTAGACTAACCCTATAGATCTGAACTGATTTACAGTCCCCTGAAAGGCAAATTTTCATATGCTATAAATTACAGTAAAATCCCTCACAATACAGTCATTTAATTCACCTTGCACAAACTGCTCTTTATCATTGCCAGTTATTACTCCGTGTGATGGAGTCAGCCTGAGCAGAGATGGGGACTGAGATTAATGACAGGGATTTAAATCCACACAAGAGAAAGGGTCACACCTGTTGATACTACGCATGAATGGGATCTTTTCAGGAATCCATTAAATGATTCAAACTGTAAGAGATACCACAAATGTTACTTTTTGTTCTTTTCCCATTCTCATACACAGTGAAGCACTTCAGCATCGCAATCAAACAAGCAGTGTTTTAACAGGTGTCTGCTTAAAGAGAAATTTGGTTTCCAAAACATAGGGTGGCACACACTGGCAAACTCTAGGTGAGCTTTTTTCTTTCACATATAACTGTTAGGAAGCATCAAGTGTATTGAGGCCCTGCATATGATACGTGGCCTTGTACGATGTTACCTGGAAGGGTTATTGGACACGTTTGAACACTGACCATTCAGAGCATGTCCCGTAATGGAAAAACTCTGCAGGTGCTCCTGGTTAAAGCCTAAAGCTTCAAAAAGGATCAACTACAATGCGCTGAGCTATTGTATTATACTTCTCACTTGGACAGACGCTTTAATGTCCTTCATCTTTTCAGAAATGTGTACCGATTTTGAAAACATCTGCATCATTTTAAATAAAAGTGGAACTTTCTAATACTAAAGGTATTATGTGGTACTTAACTTTAAATGTTTGCAGGGTCCAATAAGGAACACTGCACCCATCAGATGGTCATCTATGGACCACCATTGCACAAATTTAGGAAAAACTGATTTTCAATATGTTTAGTCCATTGGATGTAATGCCATGTCAGGTATGCTTGCTTTTAGAAGACAATCCAGGCAGGGACCTGGGGGTCCTGGTGGATAAGAAGCTCAATATGAGTGAACAGTGTGCTGCTGCAGCAAAGAAAGCCACAGAATACTGGGTTGCATCAACAACAGCATCACCAGCAGAGATAAAGAAGTCATCATCCCACTCTACTCAGCACTTGTCAGGCCACACCTGGAATATTGTGTTCAGTTTTGGTCCCCACTATACATAAAAGATGTGGACAGGCTGGAGAGGGTCCAGAGAAGGGCCACAAAGAAATTTTTTACGCTGAGGGTGGTGAAACACTGGTACAGGTTGCCCAGAGAGGTGGTGGATGCCCCTTCCCTGGAAACATTCAAGGTCAGGCTGGACGGGGCTCTGAGCAACTTGATCTAGTTGAAGATGTCCCTGCTCATTGCAGGAGGGGGGGTTGGACTAGCTGACCTTCAGAGGTCCCTTCCAACCCAAACCATACGATGATTCTATGATTCTGTGACCTGCTAGAGGCAGCAGCCTGCTGTACCCTGCCTGTCACCCCTGCCTCTAGCTTGTGG